CTGGCCATCCTCCTCTGAGGGAGCAGTGGGCGTAAGGAGGGAGCTGCGATGCACTCCAGTGGCTCTTCTCACCCTCCCAATCACAAGGTGAGGCATATCACAGACCAAACTGTCCTTCCCTGGATGAACACTGAAAGCCTGAAATGACTGCTAGTCATCTGGCATTTATCAGAGCCCTTTGAAATAAGGTGTGTAAGTCTCAGATGCACGTGCTATTTATTTTACATGCTCAATGGTTAGTAAACTGCAAAAGCTAGTCCTCAGTAGGTAGGAAATGTCAGGAGCAATGTGGCCTTTGCAGTAAGACTTCGTGTCGCATATTGAACAGCAAGGACAGGAAGGTATTGAATAGGCGATGATCAACTGTGCACTCTCTGTCTGCGGCACTGAACGGGGAAGGGTCTCTGAGGTATACGAAGCAAAATACACAGGCGGTAGTTCTGGCAATTCCTGGCTTCTGAGTGCTCAGGTTCACAATCTGCGTTGCTATTTGAATGAAATTGATACTGTTTGGGGAAGAAAAGAAGACAAGACAAAAGAGGACTTTCATCACGGTGCATTGGTGACACCCACGTGGTTGTCAACAGCGCCAGAATAAGTTCAGCCTCCTGCTGAGACATCCCGAGCTAACAGCATGGGTGGCACCTGCAGCAGTGTATCAGCCTTTATGTCAGTCCTACGCCTACCACCCACGGCTGTTCCTATTGTTCTTGCTTTCCACCTCAAGCACGAATTTTAGAAGAGGCACTCCCATGCATCCCCTGCTCATGCAATAACCCCATGGCTAGGCTTTAATGCATCACAGCCAACGAAGGGGAGCTTGTGCTGTCGCTGGGTGTTAGGAGTATGAACCCGAGCGCAGCTAATGAATCGGTTTCTTTAGGGGTCTGGGGCAATGAGGTGCCTCTTAAATGTCCCAAATACACCCCGGCATTTGCAATAGCAGAACTGTAGGCACTTGTGTACATTTCCTGGAGAAAACATAGGTGGAAGCATGGTTTAAATGGGGATTTCTGGATGACACCCTTGCCTGCAGGAGCTTAAATTCAGCCTATCATGCTCAGGGAGTTGTGAGAGGAAAGAACATTATCATACATTTACATGATGCAATGAAGCACCGTGCAGAATTACCAGTCTATTGGCAAATGAACCAGTTCAGGAATCAGTACAGCTATGCAAGCATGGCCCCACACCTTGGCCAATTAAGCCTGATGAAAAGGTGGAACTAACTTGTTCAGTCAGAGAGCCATGCTAAAGGAGGTGTGCTCTGTAGACTTAGGACTAACGTGAAGAGTAAAACATTGCACCGATAGCTGTGCTATGTTATTTTAGTTTTAGTAAACTAAAATTTACTTGGATATGTGTTAATGAGTGACATCTCCTATGTGGCAAACCGACATTTTTCAAGGGCTTGTAACGTTATCACTTTCAGGCAGATTTTATAAAGGATATGGAAACCACAGCATTAATTCAATAGAGACTCACTGTCAAATTCTGAGTCCTTCTTTCAAAGCATGAAGATGGCAAATGCATTTCCTCAAGAATTTTCTTTGGTGGACAAAAAACAAGAAAAGCATAGATTTCACGCTTTGTTCTTGGAATAGCTGAAACATTTTGATGAGAATTTTTTCAAAAGAATTCTGCTTGCCACTCCACATGGAATATGCTAACCCAAATGGATAAAAATTGGAGAAATTATATACCCACTGAAAACTGAGCCTTATAATGGCAAGCATTAAGCAACACCACCAGGTGATATTTTCTGCATTACCTATAGTCATGTATCTGGTAAAACATTTCAGACAAAGAGACAAGATTTAAAAAATTCTTACAGCTGTGTTGTGAAGTATTGTAAAAATAGTTACAACTAAAACATCCCCTTCCTTGTGATCACAGACTTTCTCAGAGAATACCAAACACTGCTGGAAAAACAGAGCCATTAGAAAAGGGATCTGCTTAGTATGTGTGTTCTCATATAGAAATAAATTGAAGGCAATACCACCTATGCAGCAGTGACAAGTTAATTCAATTTCCATCTCAAAATCAGGTAAAGTGCATCTCATTTGTTACCATGGATACAAGACATTATTTCCATTTGTTTGAGATCTCACAGTGGGTATGAAATTAAACTGTGACACAGTTTTATGGAGGAAGTTGACTAAAACCCCCATAAGTTCAATGTCATTAGTCCAAAGGATTTTCTTTTTTAGACACAATAAATAAGCAGGTTGCTACTACCGCCCATACGGTATACTTCATAAGCAAATATCTGTGTGATTTTGCTTATGCTACTTTGGATCAGTAGGAGTGATGGAAGACAAAATAAACATTCATTTCATCAGTTCTGCAAATGTGGGAAAGAATCCTGAAAAACATCCAGATGGTAGAAGTACATGAAAAATGCATTGATGTTGTGTTATTTGCTATTGTTTGGAACCAAAAATGCCAGAACATTGTTTACAAAAAAATTTGTTGATTCTGAAAATGCATCCACTTTTTCTCAGATAAATCTGCTTTTGAGGCTGCAGCTCACATCACTTTTTCTCTCATTTTCAAAGTTACAAGAAGAAGAGGTATATGAAAAAGTGGGGGAGAATGAAGAGGAAAGAAGGAGGAGGAATACATTTTTTTAATGCTGACATATATGCAGGGTTCAGGAATTCCATGGCATTCAGTTTACCTTGTCTGAAATTAATTTTAATATATACAAAAGGATAAGAGGGAATACAGGTCTTCTTGTTAAATTATTACTGCTCAAGTCCTGGTTATATGTTTAATATTTCATAGAGAGACCGATTTCCATAGATGCTGAGCACCTGCTATACTGACAGATTTCAGCTAAGGTTGTCATCTCTCAACATTTACAAAACCAAGCTGAGATAAAACGGTCTACCTAAATCAAAGGTTTATTTCTAAATATTCATGCATGAACTGCATGAAAAGCACAAAGGTTATGGGATGTCATGACTATGGCTAATCATTGAAATCCAAAGCCATCATCCAGCTGCTTAATTGACTGATAATTTCCCACCAAATATTCTGGACTCCACCTCCCGTGCTTCTGTACTGCTGCCCTCCTCAGCATATTGTCAGACTGGATTATCTGCACTGTCTTCTCCAGCTCCTTGGGCCATCTCTAATTATATCCCATTGGGAGTTAGTAGGTCTGACCCCGAGATGGCAAACTAGAAAAATTCAGAACCTCACAGCAAAATTGTCATGAACATAGAAATTCTCAGAGGAATAGGGACTACAGTGTCCATTGCTAGCTGAACAGAGAGATAAGTAAGTTGCTCTCTATTATTGACTTGCATTATCAACATTTGCTTGAATTTACAATAGAAATCTATTTATAGTGTACAGACTTGATTACCCTTCTTCCAGACCCCAGGTAGGAAATTATAATAATGCAAAACGAGTGTTAGGGCTCTAGCATTCTGATTTAGTAGTATTTTGTGCCCACTTTTCACTAATTTTAATGGAGAATTAGCACCAGGCTGAAATTTAGCACAATATTTATATATGCAGTTAAATTTAATGAAGCAATGATATTTAAGTATCCATTCATATAAGGATAAGACCGTGAATAGACCTCAAGCATATCTAAAGTATCCTGAAACCTCACGTATTTCTGATTAATGACTTCATTCCTAAGTTCGGGAAAGATTTTATTCCTGAATTATCAATTACTTATTTTCTATTTTTCAAATATTTTATTCAGAATTATTCCACTGTACATCACCCTGATTTTGTAAAACTCTGAGGCTTAAAGGGGTTTATGTTCATATAAACACACGTGTAGGCTTGTCTTGTGCTCTGTTATTTGGTGTTAGGCGGGATTTGCAGACTTGTTGGGTTTGACGGGTACCGTGATAGCCATGCAATTCCTAATCCAAGCAGGAAGCTCATATGTAAATGAATGTCTCCTGGTTTTTGTCATTAAAAAACAGCTTAGTACAATCTGGAAGTGGGTACAGCTTGTCCCCTTCTGGAATCTAATAACCAGGAGTGACAGAGGACCGCACGCGTTGCTTCAGGGCACAGATGAAGGAGGCAAAATTAACCTCTGCAGTGACATCTTAAGAAACTCCATTCAAGATGAGAGCCCAATCCAGTGTCATGGTGAGCCACTGCCCTTGCGCTCTGTCACGTAGCAGCTGAATACAAGTGCCCGGGCAGGAAAGGGGTTATACACATGCATGTTGAATGAGAGCTGCTTATATGTTCTGTTGACACATATGTGTTATGGACGTGTCCGACGAAGCAGTGGGAGCAGTCTGGATGTGCTTGCCAAGACTTGCCCTGCATAACGTCAGGAGCACACTGACAAATAAGGTAGAATGGATAAGATATCGAATGGCCCCCGCAGGGACACATTGCAGTTTCTGTCTGACTGGTGTCAGAGAAAAAGCTTTGTTGCTGCACTGAACCACTTAAAAAATTGCCTGAATGAAAAGGTTACATCCATGGGTCAGCATAAATGATAAAAGCTCAGGAGATAGCATTGGCGTTGCTATCGACCTGCAAGTTAGCAGAAGGGTAGTCTGGACAAGCTGGAGATGTCTCAGTCATCCTCAAACAAGAGTCAGCAGAAAAAAGACAGAGCTGAGAAGTGGAGATGCATCTAAAGGTGCAGATGAATGCAAACGAAGGCACCACAGAGCACTGACTACGCTGCACTGGCCAAACTTTCTTGAACTTTTGTGCAGAATTAAGGCCGATTGGATTAAGTGAGGAGAGCAATAGGGGATGTACTGAAGTAATTTGCTCCTAAATGGAACATGCATAAGGAGTTTCCTTGAGTGATCAATGGGTTTACAGTTTATGAATTCCTAAATATGTCCCCAATTCCTCCTCCCCTTTCCCCCATCTAAAATCCGTAAGATTTTGACTCTGAAAAGAAATCAGGACCTTCATGGCTAAGAGTCTTGAGTTCAGCACAGCCCCATGGTACCACTTTCCTAAAAAAGAAGACCCATGCTTTTTTTCCATAGCAATACCTGCTGCATGCCTTGCATCGTCTGCTGCAGGAACTGCAGCTGCTGGTCCTTCGTAAGGCTTTCTTCTGTTCGAAAGAGCTGTCCTTTCTCCTGTTTCAGGAGCTCCACTTCATTCCTATAAGCATCCAGCTGCCATCGAAGACTATCGTTCTCTTCCTTTAGCGCATACGCTTGGGCGGCTAGAGCTAAGAGAAAATGAAAATGTGAAGAAATCAGTAAAATGGATTGTTTCCTTACAAATAATGCAGAGGACATTGTCAGGGGAGATGACAGTACAACTGAAAGCCAGTGAGACGTTTCGGAGCTGAGACAAGACCCAGCAGAGCTGAAAATGATTAGGTTCTGGCAAAGACTGTTGCTGGGAAGTTATTTCCTGGGATGGAAGGAGCCATAAAGCAACCCTGGATAATTCAAATGCTACCTGCAATCTGGCTGCTAAATTTAGGCTTACATTTTAGGAAGAAACTGGCATGCAGTCCAAGGGTAAAGCACCCACCAACTTTACAACATTTTCCCAGTGATGTTATAGGAAATGATAGAACCGCTTAATAATTATACTAGTGTAGCAGCCAGATGTTCCAATCAGATCTGTGCTAAGGAATTTTGACTACGTAAAGTTGCTGGATTTTATCCCTTGAGAGAGGAAACACAGAAATTCCTCTCCAATCTCGCTATGAGCTACTTCGTAGCAACGGTTATGAGGAACCATTTAGACAGAAAAATGATGTAATAGAGTAAAATTATATAAAATGCAAATGCTCAAAAAAAGTGTTGGCACTACAAGAACATTACTGCATTAAAGGCATTGAAAGACACTTAAGTCATTTCCTTAGGAAGCTCCATTTGGCCCCTTTTCAATTTAGAATGGCATTTTTATTATCATAACTGATAGCAGGTGTTTGTGAAGAAATCGATTAGTATGCAGGGATGGAAATTACATTTGCCAAATGACTTGCACAGTCTGCAATATAAGCTAAAATTTGTGTAGCAAAAGGCAGAAGGCTATAAGGATGTACTAGGAGCATTATTTAAATAAATTATCTGAACATAAATACATATAGGGAAGCGTGGCATTCATTACTTTAGGGATGTGGTTATCATCCTATAGAAGAACCCGCCCCTGGTAGTATTTATACTTGGCAGTAGCTGTGGTCATTTGGCATAGCAAACTACCATACTATACTATTTTCCTTCTTGGAACCTGGTAACACAACAACATTACAGAGCAGCTGCAATTAAAAAACAACAATCTACCATATCCAATTCTATCAACATTTGGTAACTGAAGCACATAACTGATTTACATTCCTGATTGAATGATTTCAGGCTTGGTATCACAGAATTCTTTCTTGCCCACCTATAATACCAATATGGTTAAACTCCAAATTATAGGAAATTGTATATTAACTCCATTTAATGTTAGGTCTCTCTTGACTAGACCTTCCACAGATAAAAAGTCCTCTGTTCCCCATGATAACATGATTCAACATGTTTGTGAAATTATATCAGCACTTAGATAGTATGTCACAGTATTTCATTACCAATAAAAATGTTTTATCTTTGGTAGGACAAATCTACCTTTTTCACAGATAATTGTTACTAATTTTAAAATAGTACAAATGCATTATCCAAAATAAAGTACAGTTAGCTACAATTCAAATACAGACACGGATTAGTTATTGTGCTTAATTTGGATATTCTACAGAATCTCCCTGGAAGATTTAGCAACAGTTACAGTATTGTTACATCAAATTAAATTGTTCTGAAAAGCATGTAATCATCCTTCCATGACAAAATTTACCCTCAAGAAATTGCAATGATGAGTCCAATGGGCAAACAAGAGGATGAAATCCTTTTTTTTTTTTGTAAGAGCCAACAAGCTATGCTAAAAGAAAAAAAAAAAAAGGCCAAGCAAATAAAAACCTCAGTCTAACAAAAACTCAAGTCAAAATTAAATGGTTTTGGTTAGAAAGAGCCTTTAGAGATTATCTAGTCCAACCCTCCCTGTCATAGGCAGGGACATCTTTCACTAGATCAGGGTGCTCAAAGTTCCACCCAACGTGGCCTTGAACACTTCCAATGATGGGGCATCCACAACTTCTCTGGGCAACCTGTGACAGTGTCTCACCACCCTCATGGTAAAAAATTTCTTCCTTATGTACAATCTAAACCTACCCTCTTTCAGTTTAAAGTCATTGCCCCTTGTCCTGTCACTGGAGGCCTTGGTAAAAAGTCTCTGTCATTTGTATTCTCTTACTCATACCAATTAAACTCTCCCTAAATTAAAAAAAAAAAAGCAATACTCAATTCCAGACAGAACCTGCCTATTCTTCTGCTCTCTGAGAGCACGAAAAGAGACCATCATGGGCATACTCAAGTTTTTATGGTGGCTTGGGAGCAGTAATTCATCTGCTGTCCATCACCTAATCCAGCTCTTTCTTAAAAAACTTCTGAGAGCTGCTGTGTAAGTGGAGGGCATAAGGCCTACGTACTTGTTAATCACTGTCCCCACTGAAATGTGGGTTAGGACCCAGATTCAGCCGAGGTTCAGGCTGCCCTGCCTGGAAAAGCTGCTGTCATATATTTTTCTGGGTCACACTACAGCCCAGTTGGAGATCTCCTTCTCCTTTTGTCCTCCTGGGTGAGTTCAGGCTATTGCGTGGGGCTAGGGACAGCACAAGAAGCCTCCTACAGGGCCAGCAAATTAGGGGAAATGGAAAGGGCTATGACATATTGCAAAAGTAAGTAACCTGTAGGTGATGAACCTATTAGGGTTTGAAAAATAAGTCATCCAAATGAAGCAAGTCACATTCTATATGAGCAGTTAAGGTAACCACCCATTTTCCCTTTAGAAATACAATACAGCTTTTTCACTGTTAAAAAATTCAGAGTTGCACCTCTGAATTATTTTATTATTTTATTTTATTATTTTAAAATTATTTTTAGTATACTCTATTAAAACATATATGACAAAAATTACATTACAGTACTATCAAGAAGTCCCATCCAAGGATGGGTGCCCCATTATTCTAGACTGCAGACACCGGAAGACGAAGGCTGTATTTGGAAGAGGTTACAATCTATTCTAAGACAAAATGGAAATATTCCAAACAACCTAAAGTGAGAGAATAAGAATACAGCAGAGATAAGTTTGTGATATTAGGCAGGATTCCCAGAGGTGTACAACTTCTTATCAACATTATCATACACTCTGGTGATCTTCCCAGCCATTCACAGTAAGCAATTAAAGACGGAGTCCAAGGTAGAAATATGTCCTTAAATAAGGAGGATGCAACACATATAGCAGCAGTGTAACAGAATACTAAATTGTCACAAGCTTTTAAATGAATTAATTATAGATAAGAGTCCACAAACAATACGGCATTAAATACACGTAGTTCTTTTGCTATTTAATTTAAAGCTACAAATAGTTGGTTCCTAACGTGTGGACAGAGTGGTTAGCAGAAAAGGAGAATGCCAGACATCTGGTGGACCCCAGGGACTCCAGCTCATTCAGCACTGGGTAACTGTTTTAAACAAAATCAGAAACATCCTTTATGTTGACCTAACGTAACGATAATTTTAAGATATTTATATTTTAGTGAACTGGATTCTGGATTCAGACCAATGTCTCTTTTGATTCCAAACAAAATATCTATTATATATACAATGAATTATAATTTAATTTTTAATTATATTTCATTTATAATAATTATATATAATTATATATTATATTAAAAAGGCACTTCCATGAATACTAAATTAAAATTAGAGGAGAATTTTGGGGGGAAGCAAATCTGCATTTTAAAACAAATATTTTTCAAATTTTTACAGAAATTTTTGCTGTGACCTAATTGACAAAGCTCATGAATATTTTTTTTGTTGAAAAAAAAGTTTGCTCATCTCAATGCAACTTCTCATGCCATTTTAAGTTAAGTAGTTCAGATACTTATCTACAGAATCCCTTGGTGAGACATGCTAAAAAACATCTTAGGATAAAAAGACAATGAATTCTGAGAGCATTTACAGAAGAACTATATACACAGAAGGTAGAACAAAAGAAAACTCCAACAAGAATCTCAAATAGTTGCCCGTGCTGCAAGCGGAAGAAAATATTCCTGCCTAAACAAACACAGCTGGAAACCAGCTCAATATACGCTTTACAGCATTTTCACTGAGGGATGCAAAATGATTACCTGCCAGTCTCAGAGAAACGGCTGGAGGAAGGTTAGACATATGTAAGTGGGGGAAACCTTCCCACTGATATTTTGAGGACATCTCAGAGGTTAGTGTGAGTTCCTTGTGCTGAGGCAGAAGTGCTATATACAATTCGGCAACAGCCCCAGTGGCAAGATAGACTCCATGTAGCGGACCCAGGCTAGACCCAAAGCAAAAAGACACTCTTTTTAGAACAAGAAGTGACTGGCTGATCAGAAATCCACTGAAATTTAAGGCTGTAGTCATTGACGGATGTCTCAGAAGAAACAAACAGTTTATTTTTCTAGGGCATCTGTCTCGGATAGTTAGAAGCGTGCTTTCTTTACAAGTAGTACTGATCCGTACTTTTACTTTTAGCTGATACTCTGTGATTGCATTTAATCTAATGCATAATAATGCCCGCTGGAGCCAACATAGAGTAAGTGTTCACAGGTGATACAGAGTAACTGTAGTATTTTATGACTCACATCGTGTCACAATGGCCAGGAAATAAAGTGAACACCCCACATCTCTGAATGTATCTATTTATTGAGGAAATCTGGGAGAATTCCGAATTTTCTACTAGTGCTATTAATGCACACCTGGGCTGTGCATTTCTTATTAGATGATGCCCTAATAACATCACAGTTAACATTAATGGCAGACTACCGATTCGCATACTGGGGACACTTTGAGTGGAAATGCAAAGGCAGTAGCTTATCGCAAGAGTCTGAGGCAATCTAGAAGTAGTATCTGAAAAACCAATGAGAAAACACTAACAACAATAACAAAAAACCCTCTTGTAAATTCAAGAGCATAGACTTCCCTTAGGTCATCCTAGCAGAACTTTTTATATAGATTTTTTTTCTATAGATTATTCTATACTTGTATAGAAATAGATCATAAAACTGAAAACTTCTGTGCTTATTTGTTGTGCTGGTTTTGGCTGGGGTAGAGTTAATTTTCTTCATAGTAGCTAGTACGGGGC